ACTCAACTTTTTGTTTTGTACCCAAATGTTAGCATTCGTTTGGCTGTCAACGGGAGGGGTGGGGGCGGATCAGGACTTAGGCCCGGGAGGGGGGGGGGCCGTTAGGGTCACATCACTCTCGACCCAAACCATATGTAATACTAATTATAAACCGACAGACAATACATCGGTTAACCGGAAGACTACCAGAAAAAACCAGAAAATTTGATATTCACTATAAAAAATTGTGTGTAAAATATAATCCAAAAAACAAATGGCTATCAAAATAAATATCAAAAATTGTGCTCAGCTTTTGGGGGATCAGGGGCTCGGGTCAGGTCGAGTCGGAGTGTATATAACACACACACACAACGTAACCATTAATTTATATAAAGCATTATTTTATGACAGCTGTTAACGGGAACGGGGATCGGGATTAGACCGTGTATTAGACCGCCCGCGGGTTTGTGACCAGTGTTTGTGTTGTATTGAGCGGACGGGAAAGGGGAGGGATAACCGGGTGTTGTTGTGTGAGTGAGTGATTGAATGGTTGTGTCAGACTTCGGTGGCGTCTCCGGGCACGCCCTGAGTGGCGATCAAGTAGTTGCTGGCCTGGCGAATGTTCCAGTTGAATTTGGCCAACATCACCGCCCAATCGCAGTCCACTTCGATCGAGTGGGTGCGCAACTGTTGCCTCAATCTCTGTAATGAGTTAAACACATTAATTAAAAATAATTAATAACACATTAACAATATACTAGTTTATTACAATTACAATACATTACTATTTAATAGCGAGTTAATAACAACTATTATTAACTAATCATAATTTGGACACTGTTTGATTAGTTAATATTAGTTAATAACAATTACACCCGCGGATGGGTTGCACCGGGAAGGGGTCGGGCGATAGGAAGCGCACACTTACGATGCATTTGATGGCCTTATGGACGTCCCAATCGGTTGAGTGCAGGATTTTGGCGCACTCTTCGCTCGACAGGTTTGTCTGCGAGATAATAGACAATAAAGTGGTTAACAAAACACTACTCAATGCTATATCACTAATTGTCTCAATTATGGATCAATTAATTATCTCTATTACCTCATTGGCCAACACTTTCTGCATCACCCGAACCTCATCGCTGTCGACACCTTTCTTCTTAGCTCCGGGCGTCGAGTCGGCGGTGAAACTGCTGTAACTACTCGTCGCCCGACTACTGGACCCATTGGTAGTAATGTCCGCCGCGGCGGCCGAGCGATAGCTACTACCGGCCGCTACGGATGAATGACTATCGCCAGCGACGGTAATGGTTGTCATGGGTTTGTATGAATAGCTACTGTGATCTGACGCCGAAGGATTCGTGTGATTTAGTGTCGATTTGGATGACATTTGCGCCGCTTTGGCAACGGTTACCGCCGATGAGTGGTCACCACCGGCTGCGGCGGCGCCGCTGGTGTGAGTTGTCGTCAAAATACTTTTATCATTAATTGTATAGCTTTTGTGGTTATGATTGGTACTAATGGTTGAGCTGTCGGTGTCGGCCACCGGTGGTGGTGATGGGGATCTAGATGTGAGACACGTGTTGTCCATTTTAATGCTGTCCAACACTTTTTGCATCTCACTCTCGAAGGACTCTTCGCCGCTAAAAATCAAATAAATCAGACAATTATTATCAACAAAACACTCACTCTCTCCGGACACCAGTCCCTCCCCTCCCGTCCCATCAGAGACTATACTCACAGATAACTTCTTTGGGGTTTTGGCGGCGGAATCGGTGCCAACTTTTTATCACAACCGACGCCGTCGTACGGCTCGCCACCGGACGCCAACTTCATGGCCGAGTAGTTGTCGAGAAATGTCTGCGGCGGCTGCGGACACGACACCTGCTTCAGCACCGGCACCATTCGGAGGGGCGAACCTTCTCGTTGCTGGTGCTGGTGTTGGGCCTGTAGCTGATCCATGAGCGCCCGCTGCTGTCGTTGTTGCTCTTCGAGCTGCTCGGCGTCGCCGTTGGCGATCGGCATCACCAACGGGTGCCGCCTCTGGTGTGTCTTCAGCTGCATCAGCATCGGTCGCGAGCGGTCCCGCGGCGGTAACGGCAGGGCGTTGTTCACATCATCCGCACCCGTAGTCGTGGGCACTGGCGGTGGAACTCCTGTAGTGACAAATACATAGATGTTTGTGAGAAATGTTGTCAAACCAATGATAATACGAGCGTTTGTATACCCAATGAAGACCGAGTGGAGGCCACTCGAGCCAAGCCCGCGGTCTGAGCGGTGGTCGGCAGCCGTGGCTGAGAGAAAGACCTGTTGCCGCGGACTTTGGCCCGCAATACGCCCCCAATTCCTCCCGACCGCAGCATTCGTAACGGATTCCCGTCCACCGCGTCTTCGG